AACCCTAAACCCTAAACTCTCCCAAACCCCTAAACCCCTAAACCCTCAACCTCATTAAGGCCACTAAATCAAGCGGATGACCTCGACCGAGGCTCGGGAGACTGGGCGGAGCAGGAGGCCAAGGCAAGGGAAAAATGGCAAAGTGGCGGGTGAATGTATATAATATATAACATAGTATAATATACAAAATAATAAAATATGATATAATGTAGTATACGATATAGAATAAATGAATAAAGTAATGCAATAGAACAAAGCATATTGTCATATAACATAGTTTTGTATAGTGTAATATTGTCAAGTACGCGATTCTATAATATGATAGTATATTATAGAACACGACTTAATATAATGTCCTATATATTTGACTGTAGTATGCACATACATGCATGCATGTATGTGTGTATGTATATCTGTGTACACATGCACATATACACATAGACTCTGTACATGCGAAACATACACTGTATACTTCATAAAAAAACCTATCTCTCTCTCTATATATATATATATATAATATTCACTAAATACTAAATATAAAGATACGGTAGTCCACTAAACACTCTCCGCAGAGTTGCTTTAGGTGCCTTTTCGTAAATCAAAAGGCCTACCGGCTGAACTTCCTTCAAGCAACAATGTCGATGCAAAAAACACGCATCACGTACACGTGCGCGTATATGCATCATATTTTGCATACATATGTTTGTGTATACATACTGTAAACTCGTAGAGCAAGAAATTTTGGAGTCAACTTTCCTACTTCGGCTGTCCAGGTGGAGGAGGGCTGGCAAAAGGCTGGCAGCCGCGGCAAAGCATGGCAAGAGTCCGGATACGAAGCGTGGGACAAGCAGGGCTCGCGAGGTGCGAAAAATGGCTACTCAAACAGATCTGGATCAGAGCACAGTGGATGGAATTCCGGCTGGGATTCTTGGAATTCCTCCACCAACGCTTCACAGGCGTGGAGAGGCCGGAAAGGATAAGAGCGGTAGGACCATACACGGCGAAGAGAAGTCGAGTGTAGTGTAGGATCCCACGCGAAACACCAGCGCAGGCGATGCAAAATCTTCTCGGGGCAAAGGCAGATCCCGAGGCAGGCAATTTTCTCCGAGTGCTCTGTATAGGCAGTAGTGGATAGGCTCACACCGAAACGAGAGCAGAGACATGCGGAGACTCTTTCTTCACTGACTCATTGCAGGCTGAATGTCGACAGAAGCTCCGGCATTTTTTGAAATTGGGGATAGGGTCGGAACAGCGACCCATGCCTTTTGACCATTGTCCGTGTGGACTCACCAGTAGAAATCTTGTGTGCAGAGCGGGAGGCCTCTTCAGCTTTGCACGATTTGCATGGCCTGCAAAGGTCATGTGACCCGATAATGGCCAGCGCATTCTGCGAAAAGTCGGATGACATGACATGATGTACTAGCCACGGACTTATGCAGCACAGCAGAGCTGATACAAAGCATCTAGCGATAATAATTCTGCATGTGTGCGAGAACTCCAGGATTTGCATTCTCTTAGGGTTGACGTGTGTCGCGGCGATGGCTGTCCTAGGATCGATCCAAATCCTAGCTGCTTGAAGCGTTCAGGTGCATGACAACTGATACCCGTACTTGCGGCAAGTACGCACCTGCCTGCTGAGGCTACGTGGTTTGCGGGGACAGAGCATTCAGGAACGTCTTGACTGCTTTGGCTGGCAAGGGAGCACGGACTCAAGACCAACCGAGAAAACAAACAAAGCACAAACCAAGCAATCGCAGAAATGCTTTGTAGCAATGCTGTGTAGCTCGGTTGGTAGGACGGCAAATCCAGGAGCCTGACATTTGCATTTGACCCCGCAGTCATTCAGCCTCGCAGAAGCAAGCACCTCGGAATTTACGTCCAGATTTACACCCAAAGAACCCAACAAAGGACTGACAGAAACATACCAAAACGACACGCACGCACAGGGACTGCTCGAGACCAGCGCCCTCCCCATACCCTAAAGCAGAAGCAGTCACACAGACTCCCTGAAACCCAATACCAAGCCCATCGAAACCGCCAGACCCCCTGTGCACGGAATCCCATGGAAGCTGATTCGGGCGAGAGCCCGGAGGCAGGCGAAGATTGACATGGGTAGTTGTCAAAATTATGGTCCCTTTTGGGGTACCTTAAATATTAGGTGCCGTACTATAATAAGGACCCAAAAAGGGACCATAATTTTGACAACCACCCACATGTCAGGCCGTGGGTTTTCTTTCAGCCCTGGGCATGTGACTTGAATCCCCAAGTTCCCTCCGGGGGGGGATGGACCAGTGCTAGCAATCGCTATTATTTTTTGCAGTAAGAGGGTCGCACACTCATAATTTACTTGGAGGATCATGGGACTTAGTAAGTAACTTAGTAAGTAAGGTTATAAGTACCCCAATTGGGGTTATAGTTATAGTTACCTTATTTATAACCCCAGTTACTAAGTCCCATGGTCCTCCAAGTATGTGTGTATACCCCGAGTCATCCTCAGCTGTGGATCAAGCCGAAGGCTACCGAACTGACAATGACTGAGGATCTTCTGCAGAAGTAGGACTTTCCGAAAATTAAGGGTACCTTGTTTTGGGGTCCTTATTATAATAAGGATCCTATTATTAAGGGTACTATATTAGGGTCCCCTATTTTCGGAAACCCCCAAGTAGGGGTTCGCACCATGAAACTAACCATGCAACAGCGACAAGGTGTTGTTCAAGCTTCAGAGTTCCTCAGCGGCCTTAGCGAAGAGCTCGAGTTGCTACTTTGTATCTTCGGGGCATGTGGGAGTTTTCGAAAATTAGGGTACCTTATTTGGGGATCCTTATAATAGAGATCCTGCTATTTGCGGTAGACTACATGCGGGTCCCCTATGTTCGGAAACCCCCATGTCTAAACTCGACAGCTTCAGTTGCAGGGTAGGACTTGATTTCTGCAAGCCGAAGCTTTCAGAGTCGAGAAGCCAGAGCCAAAGCTTCCTCGCAAAGAGAGTCACAGCCAGAAAAGGAGCTCGCTCGCCTCCGGAAGGAGCGGTCGCTGCTGCTGGGGGAGACTTCGCCTAGTTTAGGGTTCCTGTTCGATTCGGTTCCTATACGGGTTCTATGAGGGTCTACTTGAGGGGTGCTAGGGATTTTGTAGGTGGGCGGTGCGGATTCGTGAGTGTGTGTGTGTGGGGGATCTTTAAAGGGCATGTAAAAGGTGTCTTGGAGCTTTTAGGTTTAGGGTTTGCTACACAGTCTTAGTGTTCCTTTAAGGTTTCTATACGGCGATACAATTGTGTGTCTCAGGTCTTTCTTAGGGTTGTATAGGCTTTATAAGGGGTTCCATAACGGGTGCCATAAGCGGTTTTTTGAACCTCCATTATGGTTTTAGGATCCCTTTAAGAGTTCTATACAGGGGTGCTACAAGGGTGTCTTATGATTCGTTCATCGTTTTTTGCTGTCGTTCTATACGGGGTACGATAGGGGTCTCTAACGGCTGCCGAGGTCAGGTTCGATGTCTTGCAAATGCATTGTCGGCTTTGTACAGGGTTTCCATGCTTTTAGGATGTGGTTTAAAGTTTAGGTTCCTTCAAGGGTTGTTCAGCATGGGTTCCATAACGTTCTACTGTCGTTGTGTTCGAAATGAGGTTTGTGAGGTTTCTGATACGGTTTTAACAGGCCTTCGTAAGGGGCACGTTTTTGGGGGTTTAGAGTTTAGGTCTGTCGGGTTTTGGGCTTTAGGGTTGCGGATGTAGTGAATATGCTAGGGGACAGGCAGCAATAAGAAACAGCTTGTCATCTATTCAAGAAGACGCGGGCCAAGTTGCAGGGAATCAGTTTGACTGGGCGTTGACTCGGTCTTGATTTAAAAGCCCAGCATGTGCTACCAGTAGGGCTTGCCCGGCGTGCTAGGCACTGGAGTATCTATATACATACATATGTACAATATGTATATATTTTTATACATATAAATATATATGTATATTTATAACTTATTCATAATATGTACCCCACTATATATGTATATAGACATACAACTGCATATATATATATATATATATTATATACACAAGTACATCAACAGTCATCAACATGCACATGCATACATGTATGTATATATATATATATACATATAGATATGCACTATCTGACTTATGCGCATGTGTTTTGGGTGTCCTTGTGCGATCTGGAAAGAAGCAGCTAAGGAGCTCGGCACGCTTCGCGCGAAGTTCGTGCGGCACTCAGATATGCAACGAAGCAAGCTAGGATTGCTGGGGTTCCATGAAAGACTTGCAGCAAGATGTTCCATGTCAGCAGCAATATATTGCTTCTGCCGTATACCATATACTATAACATATACATCATATATGGCTCATCTAACATGTAAAGTCTGGCTTCTGACTCAGCAGGAGCTCACGCTGCAGACGCTACGGTCCATCCTGGGCCTTGAGCTGAACTGCTCCTGGGCGGACATCGTGGCTTCCCAGCTGCACTGCGGTGTTGATAGTTACATGCAATGTATGAGTACATAAGACTGGCCATGCTGCGAGGCAGCAGCGGTAGCAGCAAGAGTGGTACTACTACTACTACTACTACTACTACTACTTGAAAGACTCTCGTCCTCGTAGAAGCAGCAGCAGCCGTCGTGGTAGTCGTAACGGGTAGTGTTGGTAGTGGCAGCAGTAGTAGTAATCGTCGTCGTCGTCGTAGCAGCAGCAGCCGCAGGAGTAGTAGTAGTAGTAGTAGTAGTAGTAGTAGTAGCAGCTTTAGGTGGCGGTGCGCGTAGGGGGCCGTGCGTTTGGAGACATTGGTTTTATCAATGCGACACGGTCGTGGGTCACAAACCGAGCGAAACGCACATTTTGCATGGGCGAGCAGCTCCCGCAAGTAGAAGCAGTAGCACAAGTAGCAGTAGCAGCAGTAGTGCCAGTAGTACCATTAGGAGTAGTAGTAGTAGTCGCCGTCGGAGAAGGAATAGGAGTAGTAGTAGTAGCAGTAGCAGTAGCAGTAGCAGTAGCAGTAGCAGTAGCAGTAGCAGTAGCAGTAGTAGTAGTAGTAGTAGTAGTAGTAGTAGTCACTTTGTGGTGGTCAGGAGGTGCTAGGACTAGGAGGCGGACAGCAGTAGCAAGTGCAAGGACATTAAATCCAGTCCAATTAAGATTTCCAGTCACGTTGCCCAAGGAGCATGTAGAATTACTTGGACGGCTTGCCGATGGTCACAAGGGCCAAGACAAGTCCATCAAGGAGGCCCGTCAGTCTCGTAATCCTTCTGTCTAGTGCGGGGGAGGTGAGGGCATGGTTCAGTCTTCGGCGGTAACAGGAGGGCCTGCTGTTCGAGGGTCTTTCGGTTGATAACAAGCTTGTCTTCGACGACTAGGAAAATTCTACATGACTACTAGAGCCCTGTGACATTGCCCAGGAGGTTCATTCGTGGTTCACCCTCCCTTGTCGCAGCCTGTTCAGGATTTCTAGTGTGCATCCAGGGCACAAGCTGAGGGAACGCAGCATCCGAAATGATCCCCAAAGCTGCCATTCCGGTTGACATATTTCTGGGAAAGGGCGGCGGCGCACAGTAATGATTTAATGTGACGAAGACGATGATCAATGGTGGTGAACACTGGGGCAGGGCAGGACGAGTGGAAGGACGAGAAGCAGGAAGACGAAGAGTATAGTAGTGGAAATTCTTGTCCAGAGCTGACTCGACAGGCAGGCTAGTCAAGTCGTTGGGAGCTAGCAACCGTTCATTACAGGACGCGGTTTAGCTACCTAAGGCTTTACAGCTTCAACTCTTTAAGCCTGAGACTGACCTTGGCTATGGAATCCCGCTTTAGCTTCTCTCCTGGATCCCTCGCCCTGGTTTGGATCGTGCTGCTGTCGCCCATCCCCACAGCTGGTCCCTACTCGAAGGAGGAAGACGACGACGAGGAGAGTGAGGCAGAGGAGCTTCGACAGCTGCTCTTGCAAGCAGAAATGGCCCCTGAACAGCAGTGGTTCTCGAATGTTTGCCTCAAAGCGTTGCTAAGTGGCGAGTATGCGATGGTTTTAGACTCTGAGTGAAAGGGTTCCCGTCGCAGAAAAGCTTTCACACCGTGGAAAGTGACCACTCGGAGTGTGCTTCTAAGGACCTGGATGAAAAAGAGCAGCAGCTAGAAGAGCAATGCGCTCGCGTTCGGGACCTTTCTGATGTGCTATCCAAGCAACAAAATGCTCGCGACTCAGGCATCCAGTAAACCGACACTATTCCGCAGGGATCCTTAGTACAATCACGGTATCCCGACACCCGCTCTCGTTATTTAGGCCCCTATACTAGAGTTACCAGAACCTTGAAGTAGTATTCCAGTCACGAAGCAAGCGGCTGAATCCAGCCAACATGACGGAGCCCTTTACGATGTCAGTCGATTATAAGTGCTTCTGGTGGGCATTGCTTCCCACTCTCACCCCCTCCTCTGCAGATGTCCTCGTTCAGCTGTGATCAAACCGCTGCAAAGGTCAACGATTTTTAGTGAGCCCTTGTCAAGCTTTGCGCCGACTAGATCAGAACGACACCCAGGGTGGGTCTGCATCACTAGTGTCCATGGGGGGGCATGTCGGTGACGTTTTTTGACACTTCAAAAATCGAGTCATCCTCTCGAAGCAACCCCCGTTCAAGCTGTCTCAAAATGTAATGCCCAGTACTGCCGGAGCAAAAGAAGGTTTGGTGCAAAACTACGAATCTACGGGAAGGAACAGACTTTACAGACGGTTTGGTTCTGACTGGACTCAGACTTTGGGGCTAGGCCCAAACATCTGTGACTTCGAAACTGAATCCGGTTCACGAGTGATCCTTTGATCCTCACAAGTGCAAGATTGTATGCTGTTTTCATGAACATCCGCCCAGGTCTTGGACATGACGCTCCGGCTAGCTTGTGCCATCAGCTGACACGTAAGCACCTGGTTTGAAAGGTCTGCGGCCAACGGCCCAGACTTCCTTGCAGCACGTTGCTCTTTGACAGTATGCGGCCAGGACATGTGCGCAACTGTCAAACCAAAACGAGCAGAAGGACTGCTGGCGAGGTTTAGGGCTACCGTGCGTTAAGGTTGTTGCTCAGCACAATAGGCTGTACCTCAGGAACCCAGCCGGGTCGTGACCTCTTGACTGTGATCCGCTGTTCCCATGGTGGAGCGCTGCAAGGATCTGGTGAGCAAGCAGCGGGAAGAGCTTCTCAGCCACGTCTTTGCTGTGGCAGGGGCTTCCGATTTCTGCAGGAGTATCGTCTTGGGCTCGAGTGTTGCTCAGAGAAGGGACCTTCCAGTTGCCTCTCCCGTCTTTGAATTGCAGGTAGCGGCACACGGTACCTCCTACGGTTTCGGGCACCTTCAGTCTGGCATCCCCTGGCTTACCGGCCTAGAAATTGGATCAGACCTCCTTTAGGGTTTAGGGTTTAGGGCTTTTAGGGTTTAGGGTTTATTCATCCTGGGCCAGCCGGTTGAATGCCAGGCTTCTGCGCACCACAGCTGACCGTGATCGGCTCAATGATGAGCGGAATCGCCTGCGCGAAGAGGCTACCTGTTATTACGTAAGCACAAGCTTGACGGTGACGGCTATAAAGAATTAGCCGATTTTGTCCGGCAAGCTACTTGCGACAATTCTATTCGATCCAGTTGGAACATTAGATACCCGAGAGCTGCCTGAGTTGATACTGACTCCATAGATCACTGATGTGAGCAGAGAGGCTACGTTGCTTCTTTATTTAACATCGCATGAACAGCCATGTTGGATGCTCAGGCTGACAAGACCTTGTGGCAACAACTGTCAGCACATGCCTGTGCCATGAGCGAAGATAGTTCTGCACGAAATCTCATCCAGGGGCAATGTTTCGGGGTTCCGGTAGGGTTCATGGCTCGTGGGCAGCTGCGATGACTGCACCAGCTTTGGAACCGAAGCGAGTGTCTTCCTGCAGATTGAACGCATGGCAAAGGCCACATGATTCATGCACATCTGGCTGATAGTTGGTCATATAGTGAGTACAGCTATATAAGTAGATTTCGGGACTTATCAGTTCCTATTTGATTTGCCTGCTGGCAGACACGCAAGCTGCGGGAGCTCAACGTGTTTCAGCAGAAGCATCTCCAAGAGAAGGAGCCCTCTGCGACGAAAGATTCGGCATCGAGCAGCAGAAGCCCAGGGCAAATTGCTCCCTTCCGTCAGACGTCCAAGACTCTAGCTTCTGCTGCTGTTGTACTGCAGCCTGCAGCCTTCCCGCAGGAGAGTCAACTGGCTGTAGCCGAAGCCTCTCTGGTGGAGAAGCACACAAGCCTCGCAAGAAGGCCAGACCGTCCCATAGAGCTCTACTGACCTACTTGTAACCTCTGACCTGTGTCCGTTGGGGCAGTCGACTCCCTGAGCGGAAAGCATATCAGAATATGGTTCTGGCGCAAGGGGGGGGAGGGGGAGGGGGGGGGGACGGGGCAGTTCTGGGGGGAAGTGTGAGGGAGGTGAAGTGCCGATGCAAAACATGCAACTTTGGGACCTGGGAACATTGAAACAAACAAGGAGGCGGGCCTTGGTTTTCCAAGTGCCCATCGAGCTCATGCACAGTTGGGTGAATCCGGGAGAACATGCAGCGCCTGTCTATTGCACCTTGGATGCTGACGCGTTGACCGTAAGCATCTGCAGAAGAGTTTGGATTTCTTTTACCAGGGAGCAGGAGCTGGGAGACCTCCAAGCTGATCACGAAAGACAGCGAGCGGAGATCGAGGACTCCAAACGTAGCTCTGGCGATCTTGGCTCATCGAGGCTCTAGGTAGGGTCCTTGCAAGGAGCTTTGCGACGTGGTCGCCTCGCGCGATGACGAGGCCGTGGGCCGCAGCTGAAACGTGTCAGGGCTGGTTGCATCCACTCGAGAAAATGCCCTGGCACGAAGCAGGTCGACAGAATACGATCGCAGCTGGAAGTCTACGAGGACCAGCACGACTTGCTGTGCATGCTTTGGACAAGCGTAACCAGCAAAGCATAAAGGCGGCCAGCCACGAATGTCCAAGATCAGGAACCGTACTCTTTGCCAAGTAGTAACCCCTGGCAACCCTTACTACTACCTAATTATGAAAGCGGAAATCTTCTGATGGCAAAGGCTGCGGAGAGGAGGAAGCACAGCCGAGTCCCGAGCGTCGAGCCGTAGTATGAAGTTTGGCATTCAGGGCCTAAGATCTAAATCCGATCTTGGGATGCTGCTTTCGAAAATGAGACGTAGATTCCAAAAATGTCCGGGTGCACAGCAGCTGCCGTGTATTCTGAAGCATATTTTCTCTCAGGAACTCAGCTTTCAGAAGGCAGGAATTGGGTCATGGTCGTGTTGAAGTCCACCCGTCGAAGCCATGCCGAACACAGTTTCTGTGTCTTGAAGCTAAGGCTACCGTCCCGGCCCTTGCGATGGCTCCTTCGTTGGCCGCCTGGCGTGCCTCGGAGCCATTTGACCGGGTTGCATGCTGATGATGCTGGAGCTTTTCCCCTGCTAGTGGTTCTTTTGGTGAAGTTGTCCCCTTGCTGGCGTTCTAGGTGAGGAAGCATTTCACACGTCTTTCTTGCGGTGCAGGTCCTCTCGCAGTGGGCCACTGGAAGATACTGGCTCCGGGCCGCTCGGCTGGAGTTTTATACCAGCCATAACGGCGAGACGTTTACAGACTATGGCTCTGGCAAGGCGAACCTGGATACACTGCCAAGCAACACGAGAAGGGCTGCATGCAGTGTACGAAAATGCTGCTGCTGGTGTTGTTGCCATCCACAGAAGGGTCCCCCGTTAGAGAGCCCATGCGACACTTTTCACCCCAGACCCTTCATAATTCGAATAGGGTTTAGGAAATAGCGGGTTCCTATTATAAAGATGGTATCATATACCCCCAAACCCTGTTCTAATTATTAAGACCCTAAGCCAGGCCGCCTTCCTCCGCCAGCTCTGCGTATCCCTCCGCGCGGGGCTCCGCGCCGAGGCCGGGCCCCTGAAATTCAGGCTTTGCCACGAATTGGGCAGAGGCTTATGGTGTAGTGGGTTTAGGGTTTAGGGTTTACTATGTGATGAAGGGAAAGATGGATGGGAGGATGAGGATGACCACACAGATAGCAGGAGTTGTGATGGTTGAGTTCCCATCCTAGAGCCTGCAACATTGGGGCATGGAGGCCTGAGATTGGATGACAGGTACAATGACTCTGTACCGTCCACACCGGGAGCGTGACTCCCAGCTGTACGGGCCAGGTCGTAACTGCACCTATCAGAAAAGACAGTAAAGGATGGCTTGCAGCTTGGAGTGTGATCTAGACTGGTGTGAAGAAAGCGTCCTGAGCCACCGGGACAGCGTGCATGCCATGTCATCAAAGGAAACCTGAAGGAAATCCGGTGTCCGAAATCCTGCATACACTGTTCTTTGTCTTGTTTTACGACGCTTTGGGAAGAATTAAAGAAGGGGTCTAGAAGTAGACATACTATCCCCATATAGGCCCTTATAATCGCTGCACCAAGGTGTAACCCCAACCTGATTCCTAATCGTTAAGGCTTGTTCTACTGAACATAGCACCCTAGCAATCCTTTTCGAATCCTTTAAAGGAGCCCTATTCTAATCATTCAGGGCCTGTACTCAACCTTGTAGTAGCCCTTATACTCCCCTAGGAGCCCAGAAAACGGACCGAAAATTTGTGTACCGGGGCCTAAATAATTGCCAATACTATATTTGAGGTTCGCTATTGTAGTTTTATTGTAATTTTCCCGCAAAGCCTGTTCGAATTTCAAAGGCCCCTTTTAAAGGAACCCTTGAAGGTACCCAGTCTCTAATTATTCAGGCCCCGATATGAGTTCCACTTTCTGCGCCAAGGCACAGAGCCCTGTCACCTCGTCTCTCCGACGGCCGATGCGTCCGAAGCTCAGCCATAGACGAGCTTAGGATTTAGGGTTTAGGGGCGCCTGAAGCAGGAGAATAGGGTTTTCTAGGGTTCCCTCTGAAGGGTGTCTACAAGGATCAAAGCCCTACATTGGCGGAGTTTCGAGTTCAAGATGGAATTCATTCTCATCCCAAGCTGTTTCATCAGCTGCCCCGTGAATGCATGCCTCCATCCTGATCGCGAGCTCGCACTCTCAAGGTATACCAACAACAAGGATGCTTCACTCGTCAATCGAAGGTGAGTATAGATCTGCGCTTGCAGGCAACTAATAACTCCTCGGGTAAGGGAGCAAAGCGAAGGCGAAGCCAAGCCTCATATATGAATTGGCGAATGTCTTCGTGCTTTCGACGTACAACTCGCTCAGGTCCGGTGCTCTCCATGGATCGAGATGAGCGTGCTGCGCAGCCTTCTCAGCCCTTGGAAACTGCGAGTATGCCGATTTGACCTACGGTCTGTATGAACCATGTCCCAAGCACTGAAACATCAGCACATCTTCAGGTTTCTGTCCCACTTCCCGATGGCGTCACGAACGGAGAGGCTCGGGAATACTGTTCCGGGTCCCTCCATCGTGTACTGCCATTGCACTTCAGCCGGGTGCCCCCTGGAAGGCTCATGCGCACCCGCATCGATGGCAAACGCTGATCCTATCTTTCGATCGTCAAAAGATGAATATGTCGCGTCCAATTCGAGAAGGTTGGCTCGTTCACTAGCCTCCACGCCATAGTTCGATGCCACGAATAAATTTGAATTTATTCGACCACCCGCCAAGAATATACTAATAATCTATCCGAATACTTATAGGCCGTATATTTCTTGGGAAGCCGTCAAATCTATATAAATCTAGATAATAGATTCAAGATTCAAACATATTTTTTAAGAAACTATTTATAAAGAAAATTCAATTAATTTTAGTATACAAAAAATTTGAAATATATAACTAATTCAGAGATTCATGAAAAAATATTTAATAAGATTATTTGATAGATTGAATATATTTTTTATAATTATGAAATACTTACTACTCATTTAAATTTCTTGAATATTCTAGTATGATAATGATATAGATTCATATAAATTTTATTGGAAATTAATAAATAAGTGAAATTTCTCGAATTTTAAACTACAGGAAGATAAAATATAATTCTTCTATTATTTCGAAGATAGAAATTATTTCATATATTATAAAATTAAATATATAAATATAAGATAATATTAATTTCGTGAAAATTCTTTCTAAAAAAAATAGATTTCAAAGATCGATTTTTAATTGAATAATACAAATGAATA